CCAGTGCAGCCAGTTCTCACAGCACAGGTCAGGAACTCAGACTTTCCACCGTGTCTTCAGCTGCCAACAGGCCCATCCACCTTGGCTACAACAGTTTGGTCAACTCACACGCGCTCTCCTGCAGGGCACAGCAGGACAGCCACGCTCTGCAGACAGGTTGATACTCTTCAGGAGACACATGAGTTTATAAAATGGGAAAAAAAAAGAGCAAGTATATATTTCATTAAGTCTCTTAATTTTCAAAATAACCCTAAAGTGCAGCATTACTCTGTCTGTAGTAGGACTTCTGGGAATCTTGTACTCCATCCTATCAAACAATGGTTTACTTCCTAATGGGAAATGATGCTTGACTTGTTTTCCTTTGTTTTTCCTATCAAATGTTGGTTGCCAAGTTTCTGTCCAAATGTTCAAAAGATAAACTGTTTACAGGCACTAACTGAGGCAAGTCAGACTAAAAGGGGGGTGTCAGTCATGCAAGAAATAGCTGAGAGTAGGTCTTCATGTAATCAGGATGTTTTTGCATGTGTGACTCCCCGTCCCCCAAGAAAAGCTAATATGGGACAAGTACTAAAATAAAATGAATCAAAGAATAATTAATATTAATCATCTTGCACATTAGAAAACTTTGGCAGAAAAAAATAATATGCCAAGTGCAGTACTTGGTCTCATGATACATTGGTCTCCCTTTCTCCAGCACAAACACATGCACCAGTGTTTCCTCTGTCCCTCAAATACCAGAAGCATTTAGCAGTGTGGAGAATCCATGACTCCTGGACAAAGAAGATGGTCAAGTCAATAGCATTCGGGGGTTTCAAGGAAAAAGGTAGAAGACAAGAAAGGCCAAAAGACATTGGCAACTTAAAGGAATTAATCTGACCTGTTTTGCCACACAAACTCAAATAATTAAACCAGCCAATTCTCTGAAAAATTACTTAGCTGTTCAGGTGGTCTCCTCAGTACAAGAGCTTGGAGCAACTGGAAAGCAAAACATCACATGGTTATTTTCAGCAGTGGACAAACCCATCTTAGAAAATACAGCTGTGAGTTTTTCTCTGCAGAGCGTAATTCTTTTTCAATAGCAAACTCACAGTTCAAAATGTGTTATTAAGCTTCCACTACTGTTATTTGGGTCTCAACAGCATAAAAATTTAAGTGCCAGCCAAGCTTTTACCAGATTATTATGGACTTGAAAAGAATATACCCACTTTCTTGCATCTTTTAGTAAATACTAGACACAGAATAGGAAGAATTTCTTCCCAAATATAGAGCAGGTATTTCTTTTTTCATTACCTGTGATAACTGTTGGTAAATATCATTTGAAAAACCATCTTCTCCCTACACTTTGTTTGCTATTATATATTCCATAAAATTTTCTATTATTTATATCCCTATTTTCTGATTGTTTTCATATTCTTTATTGCTTTGTAACTACAGAAGAAGCATTATTTTCTGCTATTTTACTGGTTGCACTTACAATAAATGTAATTCTCTTCTTTCAATTTCTAAACTGGATTTTTTGCCTATATATCTGATTTCCTATCTTGTACAGTACAAAGCAGTCACTCCATAACAAATTTTTGAGAGTCTGACAGACATCTAATGATACACATCTTTGCAAACTATCACCAGTGACTAAGCCTTTTTGGAAATTATTTTTCTTCTTCTCAGTAGTGGTTTCATTTCCCTGATACATCAGAAACAAACTAACAGGCACTCAGGAAAAAAAAATAAATTTAGCAAGAACAGTTTAGATATGCAAGAAACAGCTAAATAACATGCACATTCATGTTTTCAAATTGCACAGAGATAGGACCTACAGTTTTGTCATCCAACATCCCCATACATTAACAAGCATTTCAAAAAGTTTTGGAAATGAGACAGATGCCAGGCTGAATTCACCTGATCTGTGGGAACATCTGTGCTCAAAATCTGGCAGGGTCCTTGTCTACCCCAGGTCTGGAAATGCAGGTCCCTCCACTCCCTTTCACCTGCCTTGATGTGCACCTGACCCACCTGGGTCATCAGAGCCATCTCGATACAGGATTTCCTTCCCGTAAGAATGCAACTTTTATGAATAAAATTTTCTGTTCTGCCTAGTCCCCACACTACAACATGAGACATCTTGCCTAAATGTTCCCTGCTAAGTCTATGTAGGCAACCACAAAGCCAGCAAAGAGTGGAAGAATGAGAGGCTGACAATACACTTCCCTCTGTAGCTGATCCACTGCTATCAGTGGCTGCACCTCACGTGTCGCAGTCCAGGACGTGCAGGTCTCACCTCGTTATGGGGCCAGTGTGTGCAAAAGCATTCCAGGTCCTCCAGTTTACATGTAGCTGGTGAAATGTTTAGGGAAAGAATGCTGCTCTGCCCAAGCTTTCGTAACAGCCAATAAATTAAAAACCAAACCAAAACAAAAAGTTTAAATCAAATACCAGTAAAGCAAAATATTTGTAGTTTGCTAAAACCAGTTAATTCTTCCCACTGTGAAAGCAATGTGTGATGCTTTAAATCTAGGATGCTGCAGCTTCCGAGATGGCATGATTCAGAGTTTGGACAAACATCACTGTCACTTCCTCGGCCACCCTCTACAATGATACAAGTAACATCCACAAAGATGGAAACAAATTCACATGACAAATAAAATGGAACCAAAAAAATGTCAAGAGAACGAGGTATTTCAGTTCAAACTAAATCTTTATTCATATGGAAAATACTACTTTTCTTTTTTTGCAAATGATGCTAATAAATAAAAATACTCAGAAAGAACTTTGCTCAGTTAAGTGACTAGTAACAGCCACAGGAAGCTTTTAATTCCCATTAAAACCACGCCAACAATCATGCAGATTGGCTATGAGAAAGCAATATAAACTATATTTTATTTTGTGCAATCTTATCGTACAATCTTAATGCTACCTTCTTCTAAACCATTTCACACAATTTGAAATGCAATTTCAAAACAAATTTTAAGGAACATATTCTACATTTATTCCACATATGGAGCTGTGGGTAGCTTAAGCCCATAAATGTATAATGTAGTTAAGCATCTAATGAAGGTAAAAGAAGAAAGGACCCCATTCTGAAAATTCAGACACATTTATAAACATAAGATAAGGAAAGCTCACACCGTGAGTTCTTAACAGACAAATAGATTATTAAAGCATAACAATAAATTATATTAAATTTGATAACATTGATCCTTAGAATGGTTATTTCTGAGGAAATATCACTTAAAAAGCACACCAAAACTTTCATCACTAGGAATGAAACTGAAATTTTACATATCTCAATTTCCCACTTGGATGCAATTTTGTTTTATAATAGGCTTCAGATTTGTGAGCATATTCTTTATCATACATCTAAAAACAAATTGAAAAAGGTTGCAGTTAAGCTGTGCATCAAACACGTCATCAAGGTGAGAAACAGGCACTTGACAGTATAATGTGCAAGGCAAAATCTTTACTGGTCACAGTATAAATAGTTTCTTCAGGAGTGAAATTAAAAGTTCTCAGCCCATCTTTAAGAGCTGCTAACAGATCTTTTTCTGTTCTTTTAAGTCAGCACCAACAACCAAACTAAATACTAGCTCATGCCTTAAAGGGTATTCCATAAACTATAAAATGCAGCATACTTTACCCAAGAATACTAACTCTTTCCTATAATTAACCTCAGTGTATGTATTTGCCCAAGGCAAATACAGAGTTTACTCACAGACTAAATGATGCAATATAAATGCTAACCTTTTCTCTATTAGTATTTTTTCAATAACTAATGCCAGTTTTACAAATATATTTGCCAGTTGTTGCAAGATCCGGTTTTGTAGCAGAAAAAAATCAATGTTCTTTTATATAAACTTAAGAACAATGTCTTTTAATATCCTATTAATAGCAGGAAAAAAAAACCCAACCCAAACCATTTTGTTACAGTTTCCCTTCAGGCACATCTCAGCAGGAATCTCCAAAAAATAGCTATGTAGGAACTGTAAGCCAGAAAACTCTACATGAATTGGAGGGAGGAGAAAGAGAGAGCTAAGGAAGGAGTAATGTGGCAGTAACAGAAACAAGGTACAAGCTTAGAAAAAAATGGCATGCATCCCTTTCCATCAGCATAAGCTTCTTGCAAAAATATGTTTACAAGACATCTGTTATATAAAGGTATATACTTTCTTGTAAAAATGCTGATTTTCTCTGACATGCTAGCTTGATCTTCCAACTGTACTGGCCATATCGCTAGGCAGTCAAGTTTTCAGTTCAGTTGAACAATCAGGAGAGAAAAGGCCTACTGTTCATTTCCTATGAAACTTTTGGTTTGATTTTTACCCATGAATGTTAAAGTAGCATTTATGTGGATCATATAAACAAAATAGAAACCAACTTTGGATCTGGCATCAGCTGCACCGCTAATGAGAGACAATAAGCTAAAAAGAGGCACTTTTATTAGTCATATATACATTTCAAATCTCAAGTTTAACACTTCACCTACTTTTACCAAAAAAATCAAAATATCAGTAGCTAATAAAGCGGAGCTTTATAACAAAAATGCTTCAGAAGTTGTGTGTATGCACACACTTGCAATGGCTCAGTTACTCTGCTACCCTGAAAATGCCAGAGTATAATTCGGTCATTGCTTATGGGGTAGGGGGGAAAGAACAACACAGCAAAAAACCAAAAAAGTTGTGTCTAGAACAAGGATCAGCTATTGTAAAAAAATGAGAACATATGCCCTTCCATAAGAAGCAACTTATACATAGATCCAGATGCAATATCCCCCCAGAATATCAAGATCATCTTATGCTCTACTCACTGCCGCTTTCCAAATTTTCAATCATTTTTATTTTTGGCATAACATGCATCTTAAAAACTGAAAAACTTAGAATTGTCAAAAAAAATTAATTCAATATTAAAAGAAAAGCAAAAATCAAACCAAAAACACCCCAAAAACAAACAAAAACCCCACCAAAAACCAACGCAAAAAAACCCCAAAACCAAACCAAACCAAACCAAAAACAAACAAAAAACCCAAAAACAAACAAACCAGAAAAAAAAACCCAAATGCTCACTCCCCCCCCCCAAACAAACAGCAAAAAAAACCACCAAAATCCCTCCCCAAATTCTGGAAGACCCATTTGACCTGACTATTGGTGACAATATTCTAATGGAAGGAACTACATTAGAATAGTATTTTCCCACTTCATACACAGTATAGCACATTGTGACAGTAAGCATCTTGTGTGCACAAGCTGAAGCATATGCTGAGGCTGAAGATTTGGAAAACAGTCTACTAAGTACAAGCATTCTCCCTGCAAGCGACAGGTCAGTATTCTTGGTTAAAAAGGGACAGCATCAAAACTAAAATTTTGAGTCACCCTCAAACATCAGAAAAGAAACAGGACTCGAGCTAGTGGAACTTCCTACATAAGGCAGTCAAATTTACAACCAGTGTATACATTCACTAAGGAATTACTTTTTTTTTGGTAAAACCAACAATCCAACATACTGCAAAGTCTGAATGTGAAATATAGGCACAAAATAGATTCTCTACTTTTTTTTTCAGAGTGGAAAACATAGCTATTTAACAATGTAATAAGAAAATTTACCATCAGGTGAGCAAAAATTTGTAACAATCTGAATAAAACAAAGTACTGTATAAAGGTGCAAGATCGAGCAGATTTGATTTTGGTTTAAACATATGAGTAAATCATGGAATCTTTCTCTTCTTATCTATAAAGTATTTCACGTTACCAGTATCATTCTAGCTCTTCCCAGTTGTCAGTAAGGTTACCTTTGCTTTGACGTCTAATACTAACCAGCTTTCCAGCTGATTTGATACTCCACCGGGAACTGTTTCCTGAGCTGGCCAGGTTTGTGTATTTTGTGGAGCCTTTGGTTTCATCTTCCCAGCCTGACCAGGCTGCATAGTCACTTAAAGGAGTTGCTGCATTGCTGGTAGAGTCAGCAGTGCTAATCTGCGGTGGTTCCCATCCCTCAATCTCATCTGGTTTCCTAGGTGGAACATTCTGCTTTATCACCAAACTGTCCCAAAAACCTGGCTTCTTTTCAGACTTCATCTCTTCCTTTAACTTTAGATTTGTTCTACAAAAAAACAACATTGCGGTGATAAATTTCTTCATTTTACAATGTATGTAGTAGTTATTAATAAGCATTCAATTAATTTATGTATTTTACAGTCAGGGATGCTAATGAGTTGTCTAATCATCCATTACTGTCAACTTCAGGAAAAACACCATCATATGCATGTAAGCCTAAACACAGCAGAATCTTGCAGTGATAAATCAGAGGAGGACTGAGTATGGTCATTTCCTATTATAAAAGAACTTACATACATACCATCACCCCCACCAACACCCCCCAGGGGTGAATTACACAGAACTGCCTTTGGAAATGTACCAACTATTTTAGGATGCATTATAACTATTTAGGACTTTAACAAAAAAACAGTACAAAACAAATAAACAAAAAACAAACCAAACCAAAAAAAATCTCCAGAGGTAGGCTAATAGAAGGAATATGAAAATGTCCTTTCTAACACCAGCTTTAACACTCACTCACTATGTCCCTCAGTTTCATATTCCTGTCTCCCCCTTGCCAGTTAAACCTTATACCCTAAAATAGTTGATGTACTGTTAGGACAGTATTAGGACTTTAAAGATAGCAGCTTTATCTACACAATATTGTGAAAACAGCTGTTTTGTACTTCTGGTAAGAACTCCCAAAATTCGCCTCCCAAACCCAAGAAATAACAACCTTTACTGTAACTTCTCTCTCAAAGAGACATTTGTAAGGCTACTCATATTACTTTTCTTATCCCATTAAGAATCTTCAGTCTTAATAATTTCATATTTGCAGCTGGAATATTTAAATTACAGAAATGTCAAATGTTTACAGTTAATTTTCTGTGCAGGGTTGTGTATGTAATCATATAATGGGCCACAAGGATAGGCTGAACACCAGTGGTGAAACACACAACCTTCAGGGTTCAACGAGCTAAACAGCAAATTGAAAACATTATACACTAGTAGCATATAAATTCCTTAGCCACAACTAAACCCACCACTAAATCTTTTTCTAATATTTCTATTAAAAGAGCTTTTTTCCATCCATGAAATCTTTGCTCCCTCATATTTAAATAGAAGCAACTCAATCAATACCTTTAAAATTACTTTTCGTTTACTGAATTTTGAATTTATGATTACTCAGAATTTTCATCATGCTAAAACCAGTCACATACTCCAAACACTTTTCTTGTATTTCATAAGCAGTGCACTTGAAAAGTTCCATTTTTCTTTAAAAGTAAAGTAAAAATTGTGGTATACAGTTAAAGAAAAATATCCTAAACTTAAAAAACAGGCAGTTTTCATAATAATACCAAAATAGCTTTCCACATCTGTGGTAACTCTGTTTAAATACTTTTGCTCTCTTCACTGTGTTACTTGATTCTTATATTCAGCATCAATTGCAAGCATCATTAGAGGAGCCTAGCATCTTAGTAACACCCGTAAAAGTGTACACGGATAGCTGGGAACTTTTGTGAAGTTTTATTGAACAGGCTCAAATGGAAATGGAAATATATGCTTTTATATTCTATGTTGTTTATTTATATGCAAACACCCCCTACATGCAGGTATATACCCTTGCATTCTGAAACACATGTTCCAAAGTAAACTGGAAATAAAGCATACTACAGAAAGTCTTATCAAAGCTAATATTTGGCTGGAACAGATCTACTGATATGTGGCACACTTGGTTTGTACCCAGTGTAGTTAGGTAGCACATGAAGGTAAAACCTACATATATTTGTAACAGTAAAATAGTCTGTTCTGGGAAGAGATCTGTTCTGTTCAGAGAACAGCTCCAATCATGTCAGCAGCAGAACTGCGCCAAGTACCTCAGCTCCGACAAGGAAGACTTGCAGATCCTAGTACAGCTACCCCACTTAACCTTTCTAGGTGTAGTAAGACTTCAAAAGAGAAAGTAGGGCATGTAAAAAAAGGAATTTGTAAACTCAACCATAATTAATCTTTAAGAGGAAAGACAGAGGGTAAGAATGACCCTTTTACTCAGAAGCCTTTACTCCTTTTCTACAGTAAAAAAATTATTATGCGGCTAAATTCCCTTTTCTTCCTGACAAACCTAAAAATGTTAATAACATCTGTCCTTTCCAAATGCAGCATGCCTTATTCATTGTAAGCCTAACATATACATAACTCTGAAATGCACCTAAACCTTCCTTTGCTGATTTGACTTCCAGGAGTTGAACACTACTGTTCTCAGTGTCTAGCTTCATTACTTTGCACAGCTATTTTCTGTTACAGTGAGTGCATTTTAATAGCAGATAGACCACTTGGTTTTACTTACCCTTTGGATTTTGGAGACTTGCATCCTGCTAGCAATTGCTGTTCATCATCTTTATTGAACATAGACGTCACTTCCTTCCAACCCCGGAAACTTGCACCTTGAACCTACATAGAGAAGTAAACATTCTCATAAATGTGAATCAGACCTACAAGCACAGAGTACGACCAACACTGCTGGCTCTGGGTGGCTGATGGGCAGCAGCAGCCCCATCTCCTGTCTCCGTGTGGTGCTGCTGGGAGCACAGCAGCTCAGTACAGCTGCAGAGAATGGCCATGCTTTGGAAAAGAGCTGGTTGGGTTACTGCAGCAAGAGCTCCTTCCTGCTAAGAAGAGAATATAAAACATTGATGATTTTGTGATGTCAGTGAGTACAGCTGGGCTACTGAATGTTCTGCCGGCAGGAGCTGTTTGGCTCCATTTTAGTATATCACGGTAAGGAGGGAATCTAGGAAGCTTCAAAGACAGTCTAAAGAGATTCAGTAGACAGAAATGAAATAAACTGTCACTGCTAGAAGGGGTCACAACAGACAGGACAGCCACATGAATTATGAAATTCTTAAGATTTAACCCCAAAACTACAGCTTCTGGACCTGCAAGCAAAAAGGGTAAGAGCATTAGCTCACCAGTGACACGTAACATGTGACAACAGTGCACTACAGTGTGTTCCCTAAATTTCCTGTGACCGTTAAGCATGCAGCATAAATTACTTTTTCAACTTTATTAAAGGTTTGAACCTCTCTCCCCAGTGTGAAATAAAGAGGTATAGGTTATTTTTACTTTGATAGCATGCTTATAAAAAATGCATGCACAGAATTTGAAAGCCGCTGTTCTTCCTCACAGAGTCCAGTAAGAATGGTAGTGCCAGTCAGTCAGTGTTACTTGATTACATTGAAATAGTTGTCAACACAAGCAAAGGCTAATTCATCACCTATTATTATGCTTCATATTGCTTCATCCTTTTTGCAGAACTCAGAGGTGCAAATTAGTATCAATTTGCCATTTAGGTTTTAATTGATTATAGTTTAACTAGTATGTCCACATAGGCCTTAAAACATGTAAGATGTCACCTACCAGTTGAGCACAAAAATCAGACAGGAAAATACTGGTGCTGCCAACTCCTCACCTTTCAGAAACCCACAGGCTCTGCCATTTACAGGAGTAACACAGCACCCTTGTTACCACATGCTAGTCATGGAGTATTTCCATACCTTGTTCTCCTGTTTTACTGTGTCCTGTGCTTTCACTTCTCACCCACCTTCCCTACTCACATCTGAACTGCTTCATCTACTCCAACTCAGAGGCATAGCAGGTCTGTTTTAGGATCAGGAGGAAGGTCTAGCCTAGCCTCAGTGTCACTTTGGAAAGATACAAACATGGATCCAGCTATGGGCAAAGCACTGGAGAACTCTGAAGAGGGAAGGCTGAGCAAGCCCAGAGCAGTTTCAAGCTCTTGTTTATGGGATATGGACAGACCTGGTACACAAGAGCCAGGTTCACCACAACTCACCTCTTCCTATATCCATGCCTAATCTTACTGTAAACCACAGCATTCCTCATGGCTTCATAAAATAAAACAACAGCTTCTACATATATTTTTTTCCCACTCTGACAATAAAATTAATAAAGCTTATAATAAGCAAACCCTCATGTTTAATTTAAACATACACTTTTATTTTTAATTAAGTTAAAAATATGTAGATACTACATAAAAATATGTAGCATAAAATAAAACCAGCCAAGCTACAGATGATACCTTCAGATACCTTGCTATTCAAAATCCTCCTGTTTAACTATCAGCCTCCTCAAGCAGTACTCAACATTTAATGCTTCTGTGGTGCAAATGATGGTCTAAGCATTCAATTTTAGTCAATGAAGGCCTAATACTCTTACTTGTTTTAGTTGTTCAGGTAAGTTCTCTAAAAATTTTCACATGAGGATTTGTTACTCTGACTGGGCTTCCTCTCACTGCACAGTACTTCATCCACAACAAACTTCCATAAAAAGGAAGAATTTCAGGAAGTCGACTGTAGAAGGAAGTAATCCATTTTAAAACAAGAAAGAACAAAACAAAACAAAATAAAACAAAAATTTAAAAGACAGAAAAACTTGAGAAAGCACTTAGCTTTTCGTAGGTTAAAAATATCCTTCATCTTCCTTGAGTCCGTAGGTCCCGAGGGAACTGGCAGAGGAAGTAGCTAAGACACTATTCATCATATTTGAAAAGTTGTGACAGTCCAGTGAAGTTCCCACTAAGTGGAAAAGGGGAAATATAACCCCCAATTTTAAAAAACAGAAATAAGGAAGACTGGGGAACTACAAGCCAGTCAGTCTCACCTCTTTGCCCACTAAGATCATGAAGCAGATCCTCCTGGAAAGTATGCTACAGCACATGGAAAATAAGGAGGGAATTGGTGACAGCCAATATGGCTTCACTAAGGGCAAATTCTGCCTTTCAAATCTGATGGCCTTCTATGAGTTGGGTTACAGCAGTGCTGGCTGAGGGGAGAGCAAATGGTGTCCTCTACACAGACTTCAGCAAAGTGTTTGACACAGTCCTGCACAATATTCTTGTCTCTAAACTGGAGACACATGGATTTGATGGATGAATCACTCAGTGGATAAGGAATTGACCGGATGTTTGCACTCGAAGAGTTGCGGTCAATGGCTCAATGTCCAAGAGGAGACCATTGATGAGTGACATTCCTCAGGGGTTGGTACTGGGACTGGCACTCTCTAATATCTTTGTCAGGGACATGAACAGGGGGATTGAGTGCACTCTCAGCAAGTTTGTGGATGACACCAGGTGTGGTGTAGTTGACACGCTGGAGGGAAGGGATGTCATTCAGAGGGACCTTGACAGGACAGAGGTGGGCCCGTGTGAACCTCATGAAGTTCAACAAGGCCAAGTGCAAGGTCCTGCAGCTGGGTGGGGCAATCCTAATCACAAATACAGGATGGGTGGAGAACGGATTGTGAACAGCCTTGAGGAGAAGGACTCAGGGGTGTTGGCTGACAGCAAGCTCAACATGACTTGGCAATGTGTGCTGGCAACTCAAAAAGCCAACGGCATCCTGGGCTGTATCAAAAGCAGCGTGGCCAGCAGGTCAGGGGAGGTGATTCTCCTCCTCTACTCTGCTCTCATGACACCCCACCTGGAGTGCTGTGCCCAGCTCTGGGGCCCTCGACATAATAAGGATGTGAACCTACTGGAACAGGTCCAGAGGAGGCCACAAAGATGCTCAGAGGGCTGGAGCACCTCTGCCATGAACACAGGTTAAGAGAGCTAGGGCTGTTCAGCATAGAGAAGAGAAGGCTCCAGGGAGACCTTAGAACACCTTCCAGTACCTAAAGGGGGGCTATAAAAAAACCAAAGAGGGACTTTTGATAAGGGCATGTAGAGAGAGGACAAGGAGGAATGGCCTTAAGCTGAAGGAGGGTAGGTTTAGATTAAATATTAGGAAGAAATTCTTTACTGTGAGAGCCATGAGGCACTGGAACAGGTTGCCCAAAGAAGGTGTGGATGCCCCATCCCTGGAATCATTCAAAGCGAGGTTGGATGGGGCTTTGACCAGCAACCTGATCTAGTGGAACGTGTCACTGCCCAGGGCAGGAGGGTTGTAACTACATGAACTTTAAGGTCTCTCCCAACCAAAACCATTCTGTGATTCTATCATCTTCTGTTATCTTACTCAAACTCTGCTATTTCATGCCTTTTTGGGAGGAACCTTTGCTACCATAGGCAAATTCACTACGTTTGTTGCACTTAAAAACTCTCACTGCCCTTTAAATTGGAAAAAGACGCAAATATATCTCAGTGACGTAATTTGTATATGTTTGTCTTTTTTCATTAATGATGTTTCATCAAGCCATTTCCACTTAATAAATTTGATGATTAAGAAAAAATAAACTCACCTCGTTTCCAGTTTTCAGATAGCAATTTAATACTTAGAACTCGGTTAACTTAAATTATATGTACCTTTAAAAAACAACATTGATGAAAGACTACTTGGAGAGAAGCATTTATATGCATAGGTTCAATGTAAAAAAAAGCATATACCTATACATACACCTTCTTCAATCTAGAACATTATACATACTCCACCGAAGAATGCCAACCCTTGCTACCCTGTTTGGATACTCAAGCAATCCTATAGCCAAAAAAAAACAAAAGTACCAATATCCAGACCAAAGCTTTCCATATTTTTTAACTATATTTTTTAAAATTTAATTTCATTAGTCCAATTCTGATTTACACATATCTTTAAGAATAATTATGAGAAAAGTTCTATTCAGTGTCAATCAGATGGCATGTGCAGGCCTTCAGGTAAAAGCTCTGCACTCTTTCCACCTGTATGTAAATCACTGTCTATGTACACATTCCTTCAATATTTTCATATCCATGGCATTTGGTAGGTACAAACAAGGCTAATAACCATGCAGCAGATTGTAACTAATTTATTCTTCTCTCAGCTAGGCCTTAGGAGAAACATACACAAAACATTTAAGATATATTTCCAGCACTTACTTATTTGATGTTTCCAAAGGAAACACTGCCAGGATAATCTACATAAGAGTACCAATGTCCAAGTAGACCATATTTTGCGAGTACATGATAAAAGTAATTGCAAAAGCCTGCTATACATTAAACAGACTAGGCTGAAAGAAACCACATAAATGCAAGAGAAAAACCAGAACCTCTGCCTACAACACCTAAGCCTCCTCTTCTACACCTGCCTGCACCACCACTGACCTCCTGACACATCTTTTCTCCCAACTGAACAGGAGTCAACAGCTCAATCTTGATTGTCTTCTCAGTGGCAGCATACTGAAGAATTTAAACCTTAGCAAAGGAGGAGGTCAAATACTTATTTCATACTTTCAGAAGCTTCTTTGTAACTACTGAACTGTTTTTAAGACTACAATTCTGTTTTTTGACTACTGCTGTCATGTAGCTGTCACATACTAAAGAAATCCCTCAGGACAGCCTGCTGCATTTCTGTATATCTTTCCCAAGTTCTTTAATGACTTTAAACCTACTGACAAGTGCCACCACCAATGCAGCTGGAACAGTTACAGCTGCATCTGCTGGCAGGTACAGCTCAGGA